ATTCTATCGTTTTTCTTTCTTTTTTTTTTCTGTTTTTATCGCCTTTCTCGTCACTGTGTTTAAACGTGTTTTATTGATGTTTTGAACATAGGCGTTTTATGATACAGCACGGGACAGAAGAGCTAACATGTGTACGGGTACCTACACGAAGTGATAGTCTTTCTGCAACGTCCCGAGTAAAGGAGCTTATGTCAAAGGTTGCTGACCAAAATGTTCAAAGCCAAATATCAAATCAAAAAACTTTCCACTATACTACACTGCTTGTGTATAATAAAACAACATTTATAACGACTATTTTCAATATAAATGTGTTTACTTCTAACGTATTCCCGTTTTCCGCAGGGTAAATTTATTAAAATCATGATAAAATTGTTTTTTTTTTCTGTTAGATTATTGATTTATCATTTTATTTTAAAAGAAATGTTAGTCCATTTATAATTTAAATGTTTTTAAGGCATTATTATGTGCGCTCCAGAAAACATACTCAAATATTCGAATAGTAAAGAAGAATAAATATGTTCGTTTTCCGAACACCGATGAAGTAACATTTAATTAAAATATATTAAAGTAGACTTGACCTAATGCTTGGTAACAAAAGCTCAATTAATTCTGTTAATGAAAATATTATACTGCAGTCGTTCAAATATGTGTATTTTAGTTTTCGGCTGTTCGGTTTGAAGTCACGTTTTTTGGATTATTTCTAAGGATTACCTCGTCATCTGTTATCGTTGTTCACTTTGGCTCACACACATCCACATGTCGACCGGCTATATCCAATTTAACGGTTAGTCGTGTTGTGCTCCACCCCTGCGCGTTACGTAATATTACTCATTCTCAAACCTATCCCACGTACCCTTTTCCATGACGCACCAACCGTGGGATTTAGATGTTTGTTCAAGCGACGGGCCGACGCATAATGGGTCATTATTATGTAATAAATGTATTATATAGTAAATATATATTTAACAAAACTTCAAAGAATTGGTGTACATAATTCGTTCAGGTCGATCTGGAACACGGTTTCTACTAGATATTATTAAACAACTGCCGTCCCTTAAGGGTGTATTTGACATGCTCCGAGTTCTCGTAAACTCTGATGTATGAAAAAAACAAATAATAAATAAAAAACAATTACAATTGGTATAAAATCTTTAATTGGTACTATCGTAATACTATAGTCTTTGGGCCGTCTGACCGAATTGTTTCTTTCGAGTACGAATTATGAAAAACTTATATTTTTTAATTATTTCAACCCATATTAACAGCTATATATGCACATTACTTATTAGCCGCGGAAAAATGTAAAATATGTTTGGTTAAAAATTGTTGCGCTCCCGTGTGCGTCAGTGTCATATTATCGTGCAACGGAAACCGTTACGATACATCACGTTCCGGTACGCTTAAGACTGTGCAATAATATTGTGTCGTTCTACTCTAACGTCCGTCCGGTATGAGTGCAAATCCATTCACTTGCAATTCACCTGACAAATGTCCGAAGTTCTACCCGTGAACACGTGGATCTTTCTCTCGTGCACGATAAATGCTGTGTTATAATGACCGTCATTACGGGACGGGTGTACGGATCGATAAAAATATACATTTTCACGCATTCGATTTTTAGAATAATCGCGTGTTAGGTTATTGTGCTAGAAATAATTTAAATTCGCGTACACGCGTGACTTTTTTTTCGTTAGAATGATTTTAAATTTACATCGGGAATGTACACTGCATGATGTTGCGACCGTAACTATCCGCCCGACGTGATAAAATGCCATACATTTTGTTTAGGAAACTGGTACCATATTCGCGTTCGGAACATCTATCTTTTTACGTCAGTACCTAGTGAATATAATAATCGAAAAGTAAAAAAAATCTTACCTCAAGTCAAACGTTTCGATGAAAACGAACAGTTGCATTAGCAAAACTCGGTGAATCGAACACCACCGCATTGTTTGTCAGCGATGAAACTACAATGGTAAACATCGCGTGGAAAAAATTCGTCAACTAATCTCCCGAGTGATGATAATGTTGATTTGAAGTGTCGTTTTTTATTTTATCTCGTCATTACAACGTCTCTCAAATTTCGAAACACACCCGTGCATAGTTTATACTATATTCGTGTATAACCGTCAAATTTCAAACCACGAAAGTTTGCTATTTGTAATTTTTACGGTAAACATTCACTTAAATTTGCATCCTCATACATCGAACTTTGGTTATTTCAATAATTTAAAACCACAACATAAGTACTAGTATGATATATAAGATAAATATTTTATAGCACTTTGCGTGTTTTGGTATCGATTGTGTATCGAACAAAAGCAAAAATTTCCTTGTTCTTAGTTTAATGTGTTCAGTTGAATGATAGTCTGTTACCTATTAACAATAATATTGTTTTGTACTCGATATGCCATAGGATTTTCTGATGCGAACGAATTCACAATCATCCATATATTCGCGAACATTACAGTTACGCAAATTACAATATCAAATACGTAACACTGGAATAAGGGAAAAATAATTAATAACAAACGTTATTTTGAATTGATATATTTTTATTTTTTTCTTATTTTTTTTGTTCATTTATTTATTTATTTTTTTGTAATTATTATTTTGCTTATGAATCGTATAACATATTATAATTTTTCGTTTTCAACGACATCCATTCAATAACTTCTCGATTCTTACAATAATAATAATAATAATAATAATAATAATAATAATAATATTAATAATTATAATAATAATAATAATAATCATAATAATAATAATAATGATGCTGATAATAATAATAATAATAATAATAATAATAATAATAATAATAATAAGTAAATTAATTAATAATTTCATTTATTTAAAAATTAAATTACCTTAATTGATTAAACCTAGCAACACAATTAAATTTGTATGTTCACTCGACAAGAGATTTGGGACAATAAATAGAAAAAAAAACAATTAAATAATTATAATAATAATTCTTAAAAGCTTAAATCATAAAATTATAACAGGAACCAATACCAAAAATCAACTTAACAAGGTCATACGAAATGACACTTACCAAAAAAATAATAATAATAATAAAATAATAATAATGCAAATAATAACACACGCGCGAAAAATAATCAAGACAAAAGTAAAACAGTATTTTTTGTAATTTACTTTTAACCTAAACGCCTACTTTCTATATAATATTAACAATATGATTTTTTGTTCAATTAATTTACATGTACATGATAAAAACAGACAAAATAAAAACACATTTAAAATAGGTTATAAACTATCGGACGTTATGTGATTCAATTGTAATATAATATAATATATTTATATTTATATTGTATTTATAGAATAATTATTATCTAACGAAAATTGATATATCTAGTTAATGCCCTGAGATGCTGCACCATTGTTTTGTATCATTAAAACGTATCTATCGTTGTTATTTAATATAATATTAAATGTATTATATTATTATCATTGCATAACGATTCGTTTATTTGTTTATTTTGTACACTTGAATTATAATATTACGAAACGGAGCAGAAACACAGCCTTAGGAAATAAAACAGATTAGTAAAAAGCTTCATTGGAACTTAAGAAATACAAACATAAGACATTTACTATTTTTATCGTAAAAGGTAACATAATAAATCACCGTGAAAAGTAATACATTGCACTCAATTAACACACATTAATTTATATTTATATTATAATAATATTATATATTTTTTTTAATATTTTTTTTTACACAAAAGTGTGTTCAATAACAGACTATTATAATTAATAATAATAATTAACTTTGTTAAACATATTATCATTATTACTATGATATAGACAGTGAACTTTTTGGTATGAAGTGTATCTGTGTGTGAGTAATATAACATTTTGCCCAGTTAAATTATCGTTCCTGATTATTTATTACTATTATATTATTATTATGTATTACATAGAGGTACCTGTATTTTATTATAAATGTTTCATGTTTACCCTGCATGAGTGACGAGTGTATTTCATTATAGTTATATTAAAAAATCCTATTAAAACTATTACAATTAATCGAAACGGAAAAAAAAAGAAATAAAAAATGATCAATGTATTACGAATAAAAAATAAAAATAATTGTTCGCCACACGAATAGTTATAATTATTTCAATTGTTGAATAATGTGAGTCAATTACTGTTTCTCGTAAATTCTTATCGTTCGGTTGTTTTAACCGCAATAGTTTGGAATATTTTACAACCATTATTATTATTATTGGCGTATTATGATGACTATAGTATCTTTAAGAATCGTTATCAAAGTTTCACCAACCGCTTGCAGTCGTAAGAGACGCTTAAATTTTAATGCGATCCTTATGGACAAATAATAGCATCGTTTAATACCTATTTCAGAAAACTAACCGGTTAGTCATATATTTTTATCCGATTAATTATTACGGAATCGTAGTGCAAACATGTGTGTGTGTGTGTATGTGTGTTTTATGGCTCAGAAAACAAAAACAAACATATAATGGCGATTGAACAGGAACTATAAAAAAAATATATATATATATATATATATATACATATTTTAGTGGCTTTGTAATTATAATATATAGGAGGAACAATATATTGTGTTTGTCGTTTCGTCACTAATTTCGAGGTAAATATGTTTTTTTTTGTTTTATTTCTAAAAAAAAAAAAAAAAACGTACGAAATGCAGTTAAACTTAAAGCCAATATTTGTGTATAGGAATCACAGTTTCATAGAAGTATACACATGATTTATATCTAAAAATAAATAAATAAATAAATAAAAATAATTGCTGTAACTAAAACTTAGGAACTGTATGTAGACACCATAATGTGTTCGGCTGTATATTAGATAATCGTTTTGATTTGTTTATCGGGCTGAGACGAATTAATATTGTATTATTTGGGAACAATAATTATTATTTATTTTAAAAATGGCTACGTTTTAGTCTAAAATAATAGTAATTTTTAATTTTTTTTTTCGGTTTTTTATACGTTTTTCAAAATACAATAGGACGATCACTATAAATATGTACACGATCAGTATTAATTATTTTAAATCTAATTTACACGTTTCTTTGTATTCACTAGCTGTAGCGTATAAGACATAAGGTTACACGTTTGTTTTCGCCTTATGCCGAACATCGTTATTATTATTTTTTTTTTCACTCAAAAAAGTTTATCATCCGCAAAACGCGATAACAATTACGATACACATAAGGACCGCACTGCCGTACGACCGACGTATACATATTAATATAATATAAATATTTACACATACCAATGTAGTAATAATAATAATAATTGTACAAATTAAAATAGAAGACGAGTGGGGCCGGTCGCGGGTTAAAGTGTGGAGGGTAGAAGAAGGCGATTGTGATTGTGGGAACGAGTGGAACACAGGGACGTGTGTGCATGTGTGCGTTCTTGTGCCGGTGATGGAAGTAATGTATAAATAGAGATAAAGAGAGATAGAGAGAGAGAGAGAGAGATCACCGCCGGACTTATGTTTGGAGCACAGCGTCAAACGATAGCGCATAGTCCCTGAACACCCCGTGTCAGTCTTGTTCCTTGTCCTTTTCCTCCGCTTCCGGACTCAGTCTTTCGTCGTCGTCTACGTCGTCGCCGTCGCCACCGGTGCCGCTTCCGCCCGCACTGCTGCTCCCGGCACCGCCGGCACCACCGGCACCACCGCTCCCGGCTTTCGAGAAGTCCACGGCCACCGGTTCGTCCTCATCCTCATCGTCTTCGTCGTCAACACCGCAATCGTCGGCCCCGTCCTCGTCCTCGTCCTCGTCCTCGTCATCGTCATCGTCGTCGTCGTCGTCGCACTCGGCGTCCACGTCGCCTAAACTCGCCAAGCCCACGGCCATACCGTCGCCGTCGATCGTCTCATCCTCGCCGCCGCCTCCCGTCATCGGCGGCTCCGAGTTGCTGCGGATGGCCGCCGGTGACTTCATCGCGTAGTCCAGCACCACGGCCGACTGCGGTTGCACGCCCATCATGTCCAGTCCCATGTACTGCTGCTTTTCCGCCTCGGACAGCGAGATCTGTTGCTGCTGCTGGATCAAGTGAATCATGTCCATGCCCATCGGGAACGTGGACCCGAAGTCCGGGAAGAAGTTGGATGCAGGGAACGCGGACGGGTTAAAGCCCGGCGGTCCCAGCATCAAGTCCACGGGCTCGGATGGCGCGGCCGGCCCGTTGCCGCCGTTGCTCTGGTTGTTGCTGCCGTTGTTGTTGTGGTTGCCATTGCCGTTGCCGTTGTTGTTGCTGCCACTGTTGTTGTTGCCGCTGCCCCCGTTGTGGCCACCGCCGTTGTTGTTGTTGCTGTTGCTGTTGCTGTTGTTGTTGTTCTTGTTGCTGCTGTTGTTGTTGTTCGATATGGACCCGAAGTGCAGCAGGTCCAGCGGACCGTTGATATCGCCGAAACACTCTTTCTTCAGCTGTTCCAGTTTCAGCGACTTTCCGTACTTACCGCGCACGTACATCAACAGGCTGTTGTATGGTATCCCGAAGATCCGGGACGCCTGCGACGTGGTCATCTTCTTGTTCCACACGTGCTGCAATGCTTCCGTAAGCTCAGCGTTCGTCCACGACCTGGGCGGTCCACCCCGTGGTGCGCTGTGCTGGCCTTTGGGTCGACCAACCGGAAACATTTTCTCTGCGAGGGGAGAAAAAATCGATTAAACCGACTAGTACTTACACTAATTAGACTAGGTCAGTGGTTTTCAACCTTTTTTCGGATCGCGACCCCCCCATGTTTTTATTTTTTTGTAATGCGACCCCTTAAAAAAAAAAAAAAAATGTTATTTTATTCATCAAAATTTGATTTAATTACCGATCAAATATTTACACGATAAACAATTTTGATTAATTTACACTTAAAAATTTCACAAAATAAATAATTTACTTTGTATTTTTTTTAAATAATATATGGAAATTCATCCATTGGCGACCCCAAGGTTGAAAATCACTGGATTAGGTAACGGCGAACGTCTTATGACGCTGTTGTTGCACCAGTAACGCTTACTTTTCTTTTTGCTCGGTGGCGGATTGTCGAACCTCGGCTCGATCAGTTCGTTCAGCAGAGGATTCCTGCAGCCGTCCAGACCGGGAAACAGACCTGCGCAACAACATCGTTCACGTTAAAACGAGCCGGTATTGTGCCGCACCAAGTCAATCGGAACGTTGTACGACTCGGAACAGTCGATACAAGTCAATCAACGAGGCGAGAGCCATTTTTTTTTTAAATATCATGCGGTTATTTTTAATTTTTTTAATACAAGTTTTTAGCGATGAATCTAGTTAACGAATCGAAATCATCAGCATGCTAACGTTTTCAACAAAATATAATAGTGATATTATAAAGGTTTGAATTAACTTTAAAAATGGGTTTTTGTCATAAAATTTAGTACACGATATTACATTATACTGTGTTACTTCGTTGTTCTCTTTAGATTACCGATCTCATCGTTTTATTATAAAACATATAGTCAGGTACGGTATGTTATTCGTTTTTGATTAAAATGTTATATATTTATAACACTATAATATTCAACATAATTCCTATGCGAATAAATAATGTCAACTATTATTTCTTAAAAGCTACTGTACTTTGGGCCACGGTCCGGTCTGATTATGAAATGAAAATAAAATAAAATACTTTTACTCCTTTTATTTCATACACTACAACACTAAAGCAAAAAAAATCATCTATCTAAAACGCCTGATACAGACTACCGAGCCACAACTAATATTTTGTAAAGATATATTAATTGTTCGTAGATCTTACCGAATTGGGCATCAATCGGAAACACTATAATAGGAACAAATAAAAAAATAAAAGCATTAGCTTCATATAAATGACATAAGATTAAATATAAATGATGAAAAAAAAAACTAGGATACAAATAAGGCGACATTTTATCGTGTCAATAATGACGTTATGTTGTAAATATATTAATAATATGTTGGTATGTACGAGTATTATTATTATTATTATTATATAACTCTGAGAGCGTGTTCAGAATTAAAGCATATAGAATACTTGATATTTTAAAACAATCTCATATGTGTCGAGTGCACTTTTAAAATAATGAATCCCAAACAACAACAAAAAAAAAAAAAAAAAAAAACACTAAACCCAAAGGAAAAACGTATGAAATAGAAATGCTACGTTCGCTTGCTGTATCTCTTTGTCCCGTACCTACCCAGTTGCCCACATTATACTTTTCCATCGGTGTACTTTCTTTTTTATTTAATTATTCAAAGTCATATATATATATATACGAGAATATGTACATATGTTTGTAGACTTACTGTGCGGAGGTCCTTGTAGAGATAGCGATGACAATGGTCCGAAAGGCGGAAACAACGAGTTTTCAAAGTGCGGATCCTGTAAAAAGAAAAACACAATGTACCCAATTAAACTACGTGCACAGTGTGGAGAAGCGGTAGATGTACACGAACTAACATGTTTAAAGCTCTTAGGAATATTTCATAAAGATTCAAGTGCACAAAGTCAATAGTTTCCCGATCGTATACTTCGGAATAAGTCTCTGCATTATATTTTTATCAGATATTGCGTACCGTTGAATACAACTTTATTTCAACGATTTGTTGAAAATATTTTCCGTACAACGCAAAGTCGATTGAAAATGTTTCCAATAATAATATGAAGAAACGTGTTACATTCCGAGGACGTTTCGATCATATGTGGCCGACGTCATCGCCGAGGGAATTATAATTTTTTTTTGTACCCGTTAAAAATAACCAGAAATATTATAATACGACCATAATGTTATTTCGGTTGACATTAATAACACTTATAAAGGTCTTTAATTTGCGAAATGTATAAACAGGCTAAACAATACCGACGACTCCCCATGGTAAAGAAGGGGAAAAATAAAAATAAATAAATAGCAAAGACGTATATGTACTTACGTGTGGATTAAGAGGTATGCTCATGGGATCGGGGCCGTAATAAGGGAAGTCCGGGTGCCTCTGCTGCTGTTGGTGGTGGTTGTGATGGTGGTGGTGGTGGTGATTTTTTTTGTTACTCGACTGGTTGTTATTATTATTGTTGTTTACGTTCGGATTGCCACTGTTGGCCGTCAACTCCACCGGCTGACTATGTCCCAAGTCTCCAATCATTTCTTGTTCTTCCACTTCGACCTTCATTTGTTTCTGAGAGTAAAAAATAAAATAAAAATTACGTCTCGTTAAAAAAAAAAAAAAACCAAGAGGTGAAAACGAATTATTAAAATAGAACACCAACGCGGTACTGTGGTTGAGAAATAAATACATTTCTGTATTTCGTCTTTGGTTTTTCGGTCGCAATGCACTATTTTGGGGAAACCATAGATATTTCTGTTTACGTACGAATTAAATCGATTATTTAAAAGACGTATTTGGAATTAGTTCGAAGAATTATTGATCATTACTGCTTATAAAATTAATATTTTATTACACCTCGAAAATAACGTATCGGTTTAACAACAAACTTTATGAATGATAAATGGTAATATTATATATGGTTAATATATGAATAACCAGTGAAATTAATTTAATATAACAATCAGATGCAAATAGACCTCGGAAATAATAACTGTAACTCACATTTGCGGACGGTGAGGGTGTCCTGTCGGGCCTCTTATTATTACAACTTAGATTTGTCGGCATGTTTTCGTTGTTGATATTTTCATTGTTGGGTGACTTTTTCATTGACAAATTCTCGGCGACATTGTTGTTGAAATGCGATGGGGAAGAGGCTTTCCTCAGGTCTTGTGCGCCAATCGCTTCGCCGGATCTTCGCCTGGGTCTCGCCTAGATACATACAATCATAAATAGATTATAATTTCTGAAGTTGATAATGTTTAAGGTACACAATGAAAAAACGTGTTGACGGTGAAAGACTTAATAATGAGTATTTTATTTATTTATAATTGAAATGTAACGGCATTGTGTTGTTCTGTGTGAAATGAAATAGGTATCGAGTTTCAAAACACAAACAACGAACCAAATCTACACAACAAAGATAGGCGTTTAAATAAAAAAAAAAAAAAGTTATCTCGTTAGGTTGAAAGACGACGATAGTAAAAAAAGTTAGATTCAACTGGTCCAGTTGGACAAAACGGGTTAATCTAATCATTGGCAACAAAGAAAATGTATTTGTTTTAATCGGACCGCTGCGTTGTAAAAATCGTCAAAATGTTCAAAATTAAATTTATTTCATAAAGATTATATCTTCGACATTCGGTTAAACAATAACGATAAATAACACGCAACGCAATCATCGAGTTTAACTGTTATTTTTCAGAAAAGTGTTAGGATACACATCAACGCGTGGTATAACTTTCAAACTGGAACTTGACCAGTTTAGATATCCAGACAACACGATGGCGTTTTGACAGATTATTTAAACTTAATACAATACAAATACGAGATGGAAATACTCTTAAAAATTCGAAAAACGCAAAATAAAAATATAGTGGAGAAGCCGAGTAAGTCGCGCGCGAGCTCACCTGTTTCCGGCGAGGGGTGGGCGATGGACAATTCCTGTCGTTGAACGTGATCGGCGGCAAATGCGGTATTTGCGGCAGACGGATGTGCGGTGGTTCG